AGGATTTAGCGCTAAACCCTAAACCCCTAATCCTCTAAACCCTAAACCTCCTAAGCCCGAAACCCTAAACCCGAAACCCCAAACCCTAAACCCTACAAGCCCTACAAACCCTATAAGCCCTAAACCCTCTAAACCTCCTGAAATGGATTCGGTCTAAGGTAGAATCCATGGCCCCCTAGTGTGGGCCCTTACCCCTGGGACCCTAATATACCTACTATATACCCTATATATACCCTTAAGGGACCCTAGAATCCCTACCCTAAACCCTAAACCCCAAACCCTAAACTCTAAACCCTAAACCCTAAACCCTTAACCCTAAACCTTAGATTCGGGCCTATGAGGTCAGAAGATCGCTGAGGCGGCTCCGGCCCTCTCCGAGTCAGCCATGGAGGTGGCGGAGTGCAGCTTGCCCCGCGCCTCAAGCCACGGTTTAGGGTTCAGGGTTTCGGGTCTAGGGTTTAGGGTTTAGGCCCAACCTTTAGACTTCATGGGCACGTAGAATTTAGTAGTAGTAAAAAGTTCTCAAAGTTTAACCTTTTATTTCCCTGGCTTATTGGGGAACTAAGAGCTTGTGGATGATGAGTGCAGCTTGCCCCGTGTCCGCCTCGAAGAGTCAGGTCTTGGTGTTCAGGGCTTTTGCCCGGTCCTTCGAGGCTGCGTAAAGGCACGCGCACCAAAATCCCGAAATGGAGCCCTGCCTCACATGGGTAGTTCTCATAACCAGGGTCCTTTTCTAGGGTCCTTTTATACTGGTGCCTTGCTATATTGGGGATCCAAAAGGGGACCCTAATTTAGAGAACTGCCCACATGCACCTTGTCAAACCTCCTGAAAACACATAATGCCCCTTCAGAAACCTATATGCAGAGTCCGGAATACAATAAACTCGCACGCCAAAATAGAACTCCTAGGCCAGATGATGCCCTAAACCCTAAACCCTAAACTGCAGACGGAAAAACTAAAGGGTGTTCAACAAAAACAGTTGAGGTCTGTCGCAGCCCGCTTCGCGGCGGTACCCTGCACCTCGGCCTTGGGGGGCTCAAGTCTACATTGAAGCAGGGGTTTGGGTAAACCCTAAACCCTAAACCCTATAAACTATAAACCCCAAACCTATAAGCCCTAAACCCTAAATCCTGAACCGAACTCCATACTACAGGTAGACAGCCATAGGAGCAGTTGACACGTTCTGGGCATAGAAAACCTTTACAAACTATCTATCTGCGACACTTTGAGTTTTTTGGGCCCGGTCATTGAACAGGAGAGTCAGCACTTGTTTCCACAGAAAAAGTTTGCTAAGCTGCCATCTTGCAGAGCCATAAATCCCATTCATGGTATCCTGGCCCTCATTAAAGTCTCTATGTAAGTGCATTCTGACGAAAATTTCCCGAAGCCCCAAAGCTGTCAAAAGCCATTTGGAACCTACAAAGCACTTTACGATGCCCTGCAACGTCCCTGGTATTCCTGGTATTAACGACCCCAAAACTGCAAAACCACTTCACCACCAAACCCTCAACCCTAAACCCCTACAACACTAAGCCTCAACCCCCTAAGCCCCTATAAACCCCAAAACCCCAGAACCCTAAACCTCTCACCCACTCAACCCTAATCCTAAACCCTGAACCCGAAGCCCTAAACCCTAAACCTCTAATCAACTAAACCCTAATTCCAAACCCTAAACCCTAAACCCAAAGCCCTAAACCCTAACCCCTAAACCTCTCACCCACTAAACCCTAATCCTAAACCCTGAACCCGAAGCCCTAAACCCTAAACCTTTCATCCACTAAGCCCTAATCCTAAACCCTAAATCCTAAGCCCTAAACCCTAAACCCTAATAAACCTCTAACCCACTAAACCCTAATCCTAAACCCTAAACAGCCCTAAACCCTAAACCTCTAACCCACTAAACCCTAAACCTCAACCTTGGAACCTGAGGTGCCCTACTGCTTACGGACGTGGCGCTCTCCTGTACCCTCGAGGCTTCGAGATTGAAGCACGCCGGCCAATTGCTACACGACGTGAGGCCGATTTGGCAGTTCGGGCTTAAGGTTAGCTTTGAGCTTTCTTTCTATGGTGTTTATAAGGTTCATCTAACAACTGCTGAGTTTGGGATTAGTTTTGTGGGTCGTGAATGACTTGTTTTGGGATTCAAAGGTTTCGGGAATTGCGGGCTTTCTTGGGCGGCTCTGTAGACTTTTGGTAAAGGCTCTATCAATGTACATCATGGGCAAGTTGCGTGGCTTTGCTGCGAGTGACTCCAGTAGAAACGCAGATCGGCAATTTCTGCTGGCACTGGATGGTTCTCCTTAGATCGTCGACATGGTTGCTGTTGTCGCTATCGCTGTTGCTGTCGCTGCTGCTGCTGCTGCTGCTGCTGCTGCTGCCGCTGTTGCCGTTGCTCTTCTTCTTCTTCTTCTCATTCTTCTTATTCTTCTTGTGGTCGTCGTCGTCGTCGTCGTTGACGGTGCTGTTGTTTGTGTCACTATTTGGCGTCCTTGTAGCAAACTGACATGTACCCGCTTTTCATTGTGCTTCTAGAAGCTGATGCTCCTTTCTTACACCGACAAATATGACGAGATCTTTGCAGAGACCCCATGTTGTGGCCCGCCGCTATCACGATGATGCTGGTGGTGACGACGAGGATGTTGACGCAGACGCTGATGGTGTTGACCTGTGACGACCATCATGCCAGTAACATACTAGGATAAACCCAAGCAGAGTTTGCATGTTTAATTCAAGGTCAAACAATGACAGTCACGTCCGAATTTCTCTTTTAACGGTGTTCTGTGTTCAAACAGGTACTGCAGCTGACACTTGCTCCTATAACCTTAACGTCAGACCGTATGCCCTAGACCCTAAACCCTGAACGCCCAACCTCTGAAGGGGTGCAGTTTGTCGGACTGGTCTTTTCATAGCCAGAGCCAGCAGAATTTGTTTTTGGATGTTGCTTCTAAGGGTCCTTGAAGTAGTTTTTCAAATACACGAAAGATAATACATGCCCAAAGCCCCTGCCCCAATGATTTAGGCAATTCAGGCTTGGTAGGTTAAGCCAGCAGCCCCTGCAGCAAAATTCAGGCGGGACACAATCGGCACCTTGCAGACGCTGCAGGCAGGGGTCGCTTCGGGACTATTGGGTAGCAGGTGGCTGCCGGACGTTGCTCCTCTTGCAAGGCAGCATCGCTTGCCCCGAAAGGACACGGTTTTTGGATGGTTTGCGTAGTTTCTGTTAGCACCCCAATATCCAATCTTTGAACTTTTTGGGTTCTTATCATTTTTAGTAATCTGAAAGTTTAACCTTTTATTTCCCTGGCCCATTGGGGAAGTAATTCAGTCACAATAGTATCATCATTCCTGCTCGTGTCTTCTGGAGGTGATCTCGTGGGTACTGTGCAGTTCCTGATACCTGATACCTAGGTCGCCCAGTAGTACCCTTGTGTCCCCTACGTCCTTTTAACGTTGGGGTCTCCCTACTCAAGCAGAACAAGCATCAAGCAGCCGCAGGAAAAAAACATAATATAGTGAGAGCAGCAGCTGCACTAACAGCAACCTTACCAACCAACGTCCTTAAACTACTTAAACTACCACAGCCTACTTTTTTTGGTAGGTCCTTCTTATCAACTCTAGTAGAGAGTTTATATAAACCCTAAACCCTAAACCCTAAACCCTAAACCCTAAACCCTAAACCCTAAACCCTAAACCCTAAAAGTTGGTTTTGCTCGTTTAGGGATCTTCCCAGAGGCCAACCTCAGCATGGCCAAGATCGTGGGACTCGCGGCTTTGGAAGAGGGTTTAGGGTTTAGGGTTTAGGGTTTAGGGTTTAGGGTTTAGGGTTTAGGGTTTAGGGGAGCCCGGCCTTTGACATCCCCCATGATCACACTCGCAGCGCTGACCTCCCGGAACTAAAGGAAACT